GACAATGCAGACTTGCTATTGGGGAACCTGCCATACTACGCCCCCCAGCTAGGCTAAGCTCCATCACCGTCTGTAAATTGGCAAGTAAATAACTGTCTGGCTGGCTATTAACCCTTGTTGGATCCGGAGTCCCGTCGGGTGGGCCCCAATTCCGGCGGCGAGGAGGAGGAGTCGGAGCAGCATAGTCGGGAGGGGCTGCTCTGTCATCAAAAAAAACGGATGGAGAGGAGGGGAGATGGATCCACCGTAGGGAGGTTTAGTGTAGCAGACCTTGGCCGCCGTGAGGGCGAGTGGGAACGCGACGGAGACACAGTAAATAACTGTCTCTGACGATGGTGTCGGATCATAATCCGAAACGTCTAACCAATTAATGTGTTGCTCAAGTGATCGCATCTTTTCCTTCTGAAGTAAATGACCTCTGCAGCCTGTCTGACTGTCCTTTTTGGTAAACTTCGGTTAATGATTACCCGTCACTGCACGGTCGCCTAGCGAACACAGAGCAGAGATCAGATCCCTGGGTTGTTCTCTCCCCCCGAATGATCTTCCACTTCCCATATTCTTCTCCACTCAGGTCGACAGCAATTTTCTGAACTACACTGCTGCAAAACTGCGGGGTGAGGAAAGGCGTTTTCGTGCCATGTACCGAGACATTGCCTGTTTCTGGCTCCGCATGAACAGGCCGACCTGGAAGGAGTGGACCCCGGGCTGGGACATGAAGAAGGAACTCGTCATCGGTGGAATGTTTACTTTCTACGGAAAGTGGGTACTCAGTGGTCTTGAAAAGAGTAAGCTGCTCTCTTCTCAATTGTCCCCCTGCTTTTTTTGTTTCATTGTTCAATATCTACTTAGTCGCCGTTTTCCTTCCACTCTCGGTGTTTTCCAGTACCTTTGGGTGAAAACAGGGGCCATATTGATTTGCCGCACGCGTTTTCACGGGACCGTAACCACTGTTGAGCATTGTACGTTAGCTTTGGCATCGCGTCAGCCTTCACGTCGTCCAGTCCCATCATAAGGCGGTTGGCAGACGTCAACACACAGCGAACTGATGCATGAAAAAGGGGAGAGATGGAGACCGAACCCGAAAGAGTTGGCAGGTGGGGGGGGGCGTCCATTTCATTGCAATTAATCCCAGGCATCCAAATCCATCGCAAATCATTAAAAGCCTTGACTTAGAAGTTTGCCAACTGATAGGATTACTCGGCCCTTTTGAAGAACGAGAGTCAATCTTTAATAGCACAGTTTGAGACGATCAAATTGTCGTAGGTTTGGCAGTAGTGGCCCACGCTGGCTCATGCCATGCGTTTGTCGGGGTACGCTGACTCTGGATCAACTTCTAGCTACTGCCGTACATGCCTCTAACTGGCATTCGTTGACGCTGACGCCAGC